GGGGGGGGGGAACAAAGGACTGCATACCTCGAGCGGATGGACAGGTCCACGGGCTCCTTGGGGTGGAAGGGAACGATGACAACGTGCTCGACCTCAGGCAAGTCTGGGCGGAGGGCAAGGCGGGGGTCAGTTGATTGGAAAGGACGAGGGCGGCACCGTAGGTGCGCAGGGGCGGGGGGAGAGGGAGGGCACAGGCGTAAGTCATGCGCACTGTTGATGATCTCCTCGAGCTTCTCCTTCTGGGAGAAGGTCCGACCGTTGTAAACCACGGCGTTGACGGTGAAGATGACCTTCGGCTTGATCTGCGAGAAGCGCTCGAGGACACCCTTGGTGCCGAAGTCCGGGGACGTGGAGGACCAGATGGCACCAATGCTGATGGTGGCCAGCATGGCCACGACAGCCTCGATGCAGTTGGCGATGTAGCCACCCACACGGTCATTGACGGTGACGCCGGCCGCACGGAGGGCCGCGGCGCAGCGCTGCACGCGGGTGTGCAGCTCAGCGAAGGTGACCTTCTCCAGAGGGCGGGTCTCACCTGTGTGCATATGCGCGCATAGGTAAGCACAACCGGTCAATCAAATGCATCGGGCGATGTGGGTGTGTGCATGCGTGCGTGCGTGCGTGCGTGCGTGCGCGCGCGAGGGGGAGGCAAGGGTGCCGAATTGCACACGCACTGGCCGAATAGATGGCGATGGAGTTGCCATTATCGACGTGAGCCGGCCACAGGCAATTCTCGGCGTAGTTGAGGCGCGCCTCGGGGAACCAGACCGGCACGTCGGCCGGATGGGCGTCCTTCGGGACAACCATGGCGCCAGAGGCCGAAGGGGCCGGCGTGGAGGAGATGATGTTGGTGAAGTCCCAAACCGCGGACCAGAAAAGGTCAATCTGGTCGGTGGACCACTCGAGCAGCTCGGGGTAGGAGGCTGCGGGGGCGTTGGCGTTAGGAAAGGGGGAGGAGGGAGGGAGAGCACTCGAGGCAGGGCAGGGCATTGGTGTGGGTGCGTGGATGGGGGGCCAGGCGCACCCAGGTTCAGGCCGTGGCGGTTGTTGACCATCTGCATGAAGGCGAACATGTTGGTGGCCTCCGGGGCGGAGGGAGTCCACAGCGGAGTGGGGCAGGTGGGCCCGAAGATGCTCTCCGCTTCGGCGATCGGGTTGGTCATGTCTGCTGGGGGAGGGGAGGGGGGGGGGGAGGGGAAAGAAAGGGGGGGGGAGTGTGCGGGGGGACAGCACAAGGGACATCGAGGGGCGTCGCAGCCGGGAGGGGAGGCCGCTCCTCTGGGGGGGGAAGAGGGGCGGTGGGGGACCGGAAAAATGTAAACACCTCTCCCCGCTCTCGTCAAGGGGGCGGCGGGGGGGGGGGGACTGCGAGCTCCGGCCCGCCCCGTTCGCGCGGCCGGCAAACGCGAGGGAAAGCCGAGCGGTGTGGTCCTTCCCCCGCGTCGTCGGCCGGATCTCACCCAGCACAAGGGAAGTCTGAGAGAGAGGGAGAGACACACCCCCCACACACAAATGCGCACACATGCAGAGGGTCTTCCTTGTTGGCGAACTTGTGGCTCGGGATCCACGGACCCGCATAGGCCCGCTCACACGCACGGGGGTCATCCAGTCCTGAGGGCACACGCGCGGGCCATTTCCGCACAAGCGCCGCCGCCGCCCGGCGAATGTGTGTGGACGCATGCAGGCCGCGCGCATCCTCCACCGAGTCCGAGTCAGAGTGAGGGAGGGGGGCGGGAGTGGGGGGGGGGGGATCTCAAGCGGCGGCTGTTTCACCGGCCTCCAGGCTGCCAGAGAGCCCCACTCTCGGGGGCTTTGGTCGGCGTCTGCCTGACTCCGGCGCGCGCGGGGAGGGCGGCGCACCCGCGTGTACCGCGCGCGCACACCGGCTTGCATGTTGTTCCGGTGGGCCGGCCGCAGTGCCGAGGGACGGAGGCGAGCACACCCGCGCAGCCCGCCCCCC